TAATTTATAATCTAATCTTCAAATCCCCATGTAAGCTTCGCCCCGCCTGCATTTTGCAAATAGTCCATCAATGGTTCCCATTCCTTAAGGTAAGGAGGCTTAGTTATTAGGAGAAGAGGAATGAATAAAATGGCAGACTCTTAAGGGATAATGGACTTTCAAATCGGAAAGCATCTCATCAGAATTACTCAATACATGATTACCGCAGCAAGACTTTTGTATGCACAATTTTGGAAAACCCAGACACTACCAACAATACGAGAATGGTTGCTCTGCCATTTCCATCAGTTTTAGCAACCATTCTCGTATTGTTGGTAGTGTCTGGGTTTTCCAAAATTGTGCATACAAAAGTCTTGCTGCGGTAATCATGTATTGAGTAATTCTGATGAGATGTCTGCCATTTCCATCAGTTTTAGCAACCATTCTCGTATTGTTGGTAGTGTCTGGGTTTTCCAAAATTGTGCATACAAAAGTCTTGCTGCGGTAATCATGTATTGAGTAATTCTGATGAGATGCTTTCCGATTTGAAAGTCCATTATCCCTTAAGAGTCTGCCATTTTATTCATTCCTCTTCTCCTAATAACTAAGCCTCCCTAATTTTTGCATCAGAATGAATCTGTTTGCCTAGGCTCAAGCCCCAAACCTGATCGTTTCTTTCATTGGGTCTCCCAAGAGTCACCCATCCAGGTTCTTTGCGTGAGCCCCTCTCATCCACGATTAGTTTCAGACGCTTAACATGAAGCAGCAGCTGAATCCAAAATGGGTTTTATGGATGCTTCTGAAAGGCAGAGGCAAGGAGTTTCAGAAGCATCCATAAAACCCATTTTGGATTCAGTTGCTGCTTCATGTTAAGTGTCTGGAGGGCCAACATACCTAGCCATAGCAGGAAGTTTCATCTCCTCCCACTCTGCCTTTCTCTGTCAATATAATTACGTGCATAATTAAATTATCACAGAAGCTTTGTAAAAATGGGAAACTGCTGACAGTAATGTTCCACCCAGAGTGGCACATTTTTCCAAAAGCTCTGATTCTCCATGTGTGTCTCTCTTTGATTATTTATTTTTCCATGCTTGGTTTCACACAAAGTCTTCCTAGATGTGTAAACAAGCAGATGTTTTTGATTGGCAGTAAATTAGGATTAGCTCCTTGCTCAGTACCTTTATTCTTTCTTTACGTCTAAGATAGTTGGCAAGGCAGGACTTTATATCCCCACATGGTGCCTAGTATTGCTCTCAAACTCAGTAATTTTAAAATGGATCAGAATCTCCTTCTTCCACTAGATTTCTTGACATATCAAGATCACATGCTGAAATATTTGGTGACTTTGTAAGATTTCAGCCACCAGTCCTGAAAAAGGAGCTATCCCTATGTAAAAAGTGCCATTTTTAAAAAGTGGGGAGTAAGTGACCTTCCCATGAGTACTTTGCATGGGCTCAGGATACTGGTGGTTTTGCTTATTTAATGCTTTCCTTTGTGTGTGTGCACGCCTTCAAGTTAGTGTTGACTCCTAGAGACTGCCTGGACAAATCCCTGCAGTTTTTCTGGCAAGATTTCGGAAGTAGTTTGCCACTGCCTCCTTCCTAGGGCTGAGAGAGAGGGACTGGCCCAGGGTCACCCAGTTGGCTCTGTGCCTATAGCGGGGCAAGAACTCAGTGTCCTGTTTCCAGCCCAGCACCTTCAACCACGACACCAAACTGGCTCTTCCTAGCACTCTCCTGCTGAGGAGAAATGTCATGTTCAGTGTCCAGTGGGCCCCTCTGCTCTGAGAAGAAAGGCAGTTTCACCGCTCCTGGACCAGGTCTCAGCTGAAGGAGCCAGAAGGTTTGAAGCACCATCTGAAGTCCTTTGGGGGAGGGTACAAAGTGGAGGTTTCTTCTCCTTTTGTTGCAGGGGAGAAACGATTATACAAAAATAACACTCTTTAAACAAAATTAACCCTTTTTCTCTAAATCTTATCACTATAACTGGTTCAGAGTGCCTATACTTGTAGATTCTATGAATTTCTATAGGTGTTCTGCATCTAAGTCTTCGACATTTCTTATTAACGGTTTCTGAGTTTTGATAAACTCCTTTTCCTTTTTCCCCATTTTTCTGGTAGGCAGGTTTGAGTTGCCTCTCCCTGTCCTTGGCTGGTCTCCAGCTATGGACTGTGGGGAACTCCTTAGCCTGAGATCTAGCCATCCTTTAACCTTCCTTTAACCATCCTAGCTTGGGCTGGCTTTGCAGCTGGCTGGTCTTTTTCAGCTTTCCAGCCAAGAGGTGGTTGCCTTTCTCCTGAGTAGCTGCAGAGAATTTAGCATCTCAGTCTTTGGCTGGAGGGGATGAGACTGTTATCAGCCGTTGCCCAGCCATCACCCCCAGCTTCTGGAGATGTTGTGGTGGCCGGGGTCTGCTGCACTGCTCAGCTTTTTCTGTGCTGCCAATTTCCCACTGCACACCGCAAGCCAATTTTGTTTTGGGGTTTCCTGTTTTCCTCCTCTCTCCCTTGCCACCTTCTTTTTTTCCTGCTCTCCCACACACAAATCAATTTCTCCTTCAACATACACACACTCACACACACACATGCAGAAGGCAGTCTCCTTTTTTAGCAGGAACACAGGTGTGGTCCACTAATCCAGGTGCCTTGAAATCCCAAAAGGGGCAGGGAGGGCTGGTGTTGAGCGCTGCAGGGCTCCTTCCACAGGAGGTATCTCACGCCCATTCTCTCCCACTTTTTGGCCACATTTGCACACTAAACCTGTATTTCTCCCAACTACTCTCTCCCTTCTTGCTGAACCACCCAGTGTGCTCGAGTTGGGTGCAGCAGAGCGCCACCCAACCACCTTAGCCCTGATCTTTTCATTCTCATCTAAACACTTGGCTTTCATTGCTTCCCGCCCCACTTGGGCTCCCTTCCTACCTTGCTCCACACCGCACAGACTCAAAGCCAATCCGGGGCAGGAAGGACCTGGCCCTCTCGGTGGACTCATGTCACCATGTGGCCATCTGCAAAAGAAGCAAGCAGATTAGAGGTCCCAGATACATTTACTGTAATGCTAATTACTGTCAATCTTTGATGCTAGGATTCCAAAGGAAATGGACCATGACTGTCTCAAAATATCTTTCTTCTAAAGCAAATAGTGTCTTCTGTTATTTAGCATATGCTGTTTTGACATTAGTGGCTGCCACAGAGGTGAAAGGTCCTGGCGTTGCAGATGGCCCCCAACCTGGATGGCCTCTTCTGAGGGTTTGAGGAAACTCCTCTCATGCGTGGGACCCTTTTTTCTTGCAGATGAATGCCGTGTTCCATTCCACCATTCAGGATGGGATAAGGCACTATTACGATGACCTGGATTTCAAAAATATTTTGGACTATGTTCAGCAAAAGGTAACACTGTAGTTTTGGGGAAATTGTAATTTTGCTATAAGGACGGCAAATATTATTGGAGAAAATTTAGACGGCTAGACTTTAATCTAGAATGTCTTGTTCTGCTAATAAATGTGTGTGCAATCTAGGATTGATTCTCCCATTCGTTTTGGGTTCCGAATGGCCTCTTTGCAAACAAGGGAATCTCCAGCCCAGCCACAAAGTGGTAACATCAAACATCATGGACAAAACAGAATTCCTGGAGAACATCATCTGAAGCGAGGAATATCCCCAGGACTTCACAGGCTCTCCTGTGCCTCTCATAGTAGACACTGCAGGAGAGCCATGTTGGTCTATGGTAGAGGAGTCTAGTAGCACTTTTTTAGACTAACAAGTTTTATTAAAAAGCATACGCTTTTGTGAGGCATGATGCATCTGATGAAGTGAGCTGTCCTTCACAAACGGTTATGCCTTTAATAACGTTTGTTGGTCTGAAAAGCTGCTGCCAGACTCCTTCTGACTTTTAGAGACTCAGTAAAATTGAAGTAGACAAACATGACCCAAAAGTTTTATGACAGCTTAGGTTGGCCTTAGATGTTCTGGAGACTTCTCTAGGCTGATGCAAGGCTGCGTCTGGCTGCGTCCAAAATCATGTTGCATCCAAAATCCACAGGTCAATTCCCTTTGGAAATTGGTTATGCCCCAACTAACGGGGGGCAATCTGGACAATTTAACAATTTCTGTAATATTTAGCAAATGAAAGATCTCCAGGAATTTTTAAGGATGGAGCCTGTACAGATTATCAAACAACAGGAAATCTATCCCCCCCCCCCCCAAAAGAAGAGGGAAGTCTGCATGAAACATATATGTGTAGATTCATATACATGAAAAATTAGAAACAATTTATACAATATTTTTAAAACATATCACTAGTGTGAGGAAGGCAAAATGATGTGTGTGCCTAATCAGAGGCTTTAGCTCTTCTGTCCTCTGAAGACAACCTTTAACCTAGACTTGAGCTGAAGAGCCCTTCAAATAGTGCTTGTCTCCAACTTCCATTTAACATTTCCAGATCCACAAAGACTTTTAGTCAATTTCAATGAGGGAGCTGAAACTAAAACCTTCTCCAACTAACACGGGGCAATCCGGATAATTTAACCATTTCTGTAATATTTAGTAAATGAAAGATCTCCAAGAATTTTTAAGGATGGAGCCTGTACAAATGATCAAACAACAGGAAATCTGTCCCCCCAAAAGAAGAGGGAAGTCTGCATTCTTGTGAGCGTGAGACCCTTTTCACCAGGTCTGTTCTGCTGCCCCCCACGCCATCTGGCTTTTAGATCCTCATATACTTGGAACTGCATTGTTTTTAAAGCAGCCTCTTGCTCATGATTGGTTTTTAAATGTTAGTAATTTTAATGAAGTTGTATTATGTGTTACAAAAAGAACAGGATAATAGATTTAAAAAATAAAGTAAATTACAATATGGCTAAAACAATAACAAGCCGAATCAGTTCTTCTGGGGGAGGGGAAGTGGAAGTGGTTTGGGGAATATACACTCCAGCATCTGCTCAGCTCTCTTTCAGAAATTGCTCAGCCAATCAATTGCTTTTTTTTTTATTTTATTTTTTGGAAATCATCCAAATTACCTTTGCTGGCATTTTTGCAACTGCTAATTGCCAGTGTGTACAAAACCAGCTTCTGATGATAAGCAAGCATCACACATAGTTATGCTCATGTGTGTATCATTAAGTACGTTACAAGATTTTCTTTTCTTTCTTTATTCCTCATAAGGATGTTCTTGACAAATATGTCTCTTAGATGCCAATGAAAAATACCTTGCAGATTTGGGAGAGATTTGGATTAATGGGCACAGCTGACTGGGTGCAAAAGGGAAAGCTGGGCTGTTCCTTGTGAAGTCTGCTTGTGGAAGAGATTGTGGCAGCCGCTGCATCTCTCGCCCCTGTGCAACCTGGGCTGCCCAGAACAAACACCCTCTTCTGTATAGCCATGTCTGAATTAATTGGGAGCCCAATGTTGGAATGCTGGTTTAGATGCAGGTAGCCCAGCTGTGTTCCCGGCATCTGCAACTCACATTGGGAGAGGCTCGCCTGGAACTCGGAGAACTTCTCCCAGCTCCTGCGGGTAATGCCAACTGATGTGGGCCTCGTCTTGATAAGGCAGCTTCTTCTGCTCAGGGGTCCTGCTGTGTCCTCCACTGTATCCTCTCTCTGGGATCTCTCCCTGAAAAACCTCGTAAACACAAGAAAAGAGCCAAGATTAGCTACTCAAGCAGCACATTCAAGGCTTCCCACTGAAGAAGGCTGGGCAGCTAAGGACGCAGTGGTGTCCAGGCAATTCATATGTCCTTCATGTGAAAGCCTCACATGTGCTCTGGTTCAGGAAGCTCTGAGCTACGTGATTTGGAGAGTCTGCACATGAGTGAGAGATTCAGCTGGCCAAAGCAGCCTACTGGGGAGACTGAGAACCACGTTAAGGAAGTCTGTACCTTTGGCATTGGGCTTCCCTGCCCAGAATCTCCCCTCTAAGTAGCAGCTCTTCTTACCAGGAGGAAATCTGCAGATAGACCTTCCCAATCTCTTCCTTCTCTTCCAGAAAGGAGAAATGTAGTGTCCTGCAGCAGCAGGCAGAACCCTTGCTGTTGAAATTTATGCAAGTTATATATTGGGTTAATTGCAATTAGGAAGTCTTGTGGGCTACTGGATACCTAGGATTTCTGATTGGAACTACAGAAGTGGAGGGAACATTAGGAATTAATGATAGGGCGCCAGATCAGTTTTGCTACCACATGCGAGAGAATAAAAGGAGCAATGTAGAAATCCAGGGACAAAGTGGAGTTTCTCATTCAAATTCAGAGAATGTGCAAAAATAAGGGGATTTGTTGGAAGCTTTTAATCTTCCTAACCTATACCAGATTATATACAATGCAAGCCTACAAGCTTTCCAGTACACAAAGTAATGATGTAAACGTTTAAATTAAGTTTAAATCCCTTCATGAGAGGGGAGAAGGTTGGGATTCTTAGGATATATGGCAATCCTGAAGCAGGAGACACAATTAGGGCCCGATGGGTAGCTTGGCTTGAATCCCTTGGAAGACTACCTGAAAACTAAAAGTAAAAACCTTTTGAAAAACTAAGTGCCCAGGTCATGAAGGAAGCAACCCATCTGATGGGCACCCTTGGAGGCAGATGTACCCCTTCAGTGAGAAACAGCTGCCAGGGGTAGCACTGCCGCCATACCTCGAAAGCAGCCCAGGATGTGTTCCAGAAAGATCTGGAAAGTCTGGGGAAAAAAGAAAGGAAAAGCTGGAACATGAGACCTCCTGCCATGAGACCTCCTGTGAGAGACGTCATACTGGGGCTTCCTGGAATGTACCTGCAGGCCCAGCCCCAGGACCCCCTCCGAGAAGCAACCCAGGAAGAGACACCCTTGAAGAAGTGAGGCTAGACCTGGATACCTCGACCCTGGTCTTGGGCAGCATTTCAGGAGTCGGTTGGAGCTGTCACTGCAAGCAAAGGAGAACCCTGGTGCCTGGTCCTGTGCCTGGCCTGGGTCAACCCCAGCAGTTTGCTGAACATCCCCTTTCTAGAATGGGAAGGGCAGAATGGGAATGAGTAGCCCCCCTCCCAACTTCAAATGTGACAGCAAGCCAGAGTTTGAGAACATCTGCCCTACCACCATTCCTGGGCACTTCCTTAAATCTAAGGGAGCCCCAGCAAGATTGCAGCTGCTGCTTCTCTCCCTTATTTGCAAGAGTCCGTGTGATGCTCTCCTTTTTTTCTTCTTCTTCAGATCTGAACTCACCAGAGAAAATCATGGCACCTTCAGACATGCTTTGGCACAAAGTACAATATTTTAGGTGTCAGAATAGTGAGGAGCAATGACTTTTCTTGATCTTGATGCTCTGCTTCAGCTGATGCTGCCTAAGGTCGGATTTGCTGTTTTGAAGCTGCATCACTTCGTTGGTTCATATCTGGCTTTTGTTTCAGCAGAACAGCCAGATCCTTTTCACGCATCCTGCTTGCCCAGTCTGGCCTCCCCAATTCTAGTCATGCCTTTTGAGTTTTCTTACCCAAATGAAGGACTCTGCATTTGTCCCTGTTGAAATTATTCTTGTTGGTTTTTTCACCTAAAACTGCAACTGGTTTTGTGTACTGTATTTTAGGAAGGATATTGGCAAACTGAAATATGTCCAGGGGAGAGCAACCAAAATAATAAGGGGCCTGGAATGGATGGTTGGAAATGTTGGGGGCATGTTTAGCCTGGAAAAGAGAAGATTGTAGGGGGAAATATAGCTGTCTTTAAGCATCTGAAAGGCTGTGGCGTAGAAAACACAGCTGAATTGTTCAGAGTTGTTCCAGAATGCAGGACAAGGAAAAATGGGATTATATCCCAAGGAAGCAGACATCAGTTGGACATCAGAAAGAACTTCTGCTGTTCACCAAGAGAACAGACTTTCTTGGGAGGTGGTGAAGTCTCCTTCACTGGAGGTTTTTAAATAGAAGCTAAGTGGCGACCCTGGGCAGGGGATTGGACTAAATGTTCTTACACGTAATTCTATGAGAAAAGTAAATAGGGGCTATTTAATTTGTAAGCTGCTAAATCTTGCAAATCATTGCAGCTAACACTTCTAGCTTCACATCCTTACTTCACCAAAAATCTTAAATGGTTTGTTTTTAAAAAAAAAAAAAGGCAGAAGAAGCCTGATTGCCAAGCAATTTATAGTACAAATTATGATCCAAAGTGAGAACGTTGTCCTGCATCCATATATCTTCTTGATTTCTGCTTATTTTTATTCAAACAGCTTAATGACTGCATTTCTGGGAGAGTTCTCACTTAATGGCTGCTCTATTATTTGCATATCAAGCAGGCCTCACAGGGGGGACCAGCAGCTAAATTTCAAATGGCTCGCCTTCTCAGCGAATGTCAGCATACTCATCTCTCTTATCACCCCGATAATCCTTCTTGAGATGCTTTGCTCATCCATGCTCTGCAGTTCA